CACATGCACGCTGCCCGCGGCTCCCACGCAGGTGCAACATCAGCTACCTGGAGGAGTGGCTGAAGGAGAAGAACTTGCAGGCCAGCGCAGCCCAGGACACCTTGGAGCCGCTCTCCCAGGTGGCCTGGCTGCTCCAGGTCAAGAAGATCACAGACAGTGACGCCGAGGAGATTGCCAAGCGCTGCAGCTCACTGTCCGCTGTGCAGGTGATGGGGCCCACTGGTGTCCTCCTGGGTCCTCGAGGACAGGTCGCTACAGTGGCCATGGCTTTGCAGGCCAAGCCAGGGGGGTGCGCCTCACTGCGTGCTCCCTGCAGAGCACACGAGCGTCCCATACCCCTTTCGCCGGCTCAGCCCCTAGCAGACACTGGCTCAGGCCCTCACAGGCAAGCACGCATGTGCCACTGCCCTGCAGGCCCAACACAGATCGTGTGTGAGGGGAGCACATAGGGATGGGACGTCCTTGCCCCCGGGGTGGCCCGTGCTGCTGCCTTCTGGGCACTCTGCCCTGGCTTCATCTGGACTTCCCCAGCAGCACGGTGCAGCCAAGCGGTCTAACCCTGGGCCATACCATGTTCCTAGATCATAAAGATCCTCAACTCCTACACACCCACAGACGACTTCGAGAAGAGAGTGACCCCGTCCTTCGTGCGCAAGGTGCAGGTGAGGCTCGAGGCTGCGTCCTCTCGTCTTTCTTGCTACATGTGGTGCAAGACACTGCTCAGAATTCACGCGATGAAACCTGGCAGTGAAGTCCACTTGCGAAACGTGCAAAGGCAGCAGAAGTGTGCGCTTCAGAATCTTCCACGTCCAGCGGGAGAGACTGGGTGGCCCAGACCGGGCTGGGAGCTGTCGGGGCCATCTGGTTCTCTGATCCTGAGTTTCTCACCAAGTTCAAGGATCCCTGGGGTCCTCGAGACCTGCCAGGGCAGTCACACAGCCCTGCTTTGTCCAAAGCAAAGTACAGATAAGCTGCAGCGTGGCCGGGGGAACGGACGCCAGACGGCTCTGGCTTCTACTAGGCACAGCTTGGGTGCTGCTGGATGTCGAGGAGGGCTGCGGAGGGTGAAGCAACACCACTTCTCACCAGGGTCTCATTGGAGAGTGCTGGATTACCTTGCACCAAGCTTAATGCTTTAGTGACTTAATAATGCAAATAGATTCCGGCTTAGTCACTAGTTGGGTAACTATCAACAGCTCCTCCAGCATGCACAGGTGCTTTGGAGCCCACATAATTTTATGAGTAGAAAGGGGTCCCGGGGCCAGAGAGTGTGGCTCTGAGCAGAGGAAGAGGACTCAGGGCAGAGGTGGCATGGAGATGGGTGCCCAGGGTCCATGAGGACAGAGAGGGATGACCGTCGCTCTGCCTATGGGAAGGACATCCTGTGGCCTGGCCCCCAAGAGGGTCCCCTGGCCCCCGAGACCCTGAAAGGCTCTCTGGCTGGAGCGGGAGCCACCGCATGACCTGCTCCTGGCCAAGCAAGGCAGGCAGTGCTGGCCTCATCCTCACCATCCCCCTGTTGTTCCAGACCCTGCTACGTGACCGGAAGGGCTCCGTGCAGCTGCTGGTGGACGCCAAGTTCCTGTTCCCTGTCACCTTCCCTTTCAGCGCCTCGCCACATGCCCTGGAGCTACTGCAGATCCCCAGCAGCTTGAAGCTGGGCTTCCTGCGCCGCCTCTAGGGACCAGAACAAGGCCTTGGGGACAGGCTCTGGGCATCACCTTGTCCTCATGGGGTGGCTGCTGTGGCTGCACAGTCCTTGTCCCCAGGAGTCTTCTCCCGGGGCTTCTACGGGACTCCTGGAGGGCTCCAGCTTCTCCCAGGTGCCCCAGGCTATTCTGTCCTCCAACAGAGTCATCGCAATGATTCACTAGTATTCCTCACACAAAAACTTCTTTCAAAACCAAGTTTATAAAAGCAACCTAAGCCAGGCCTGTGATCCCAGCACTAAGGAGGCTGAGGCAGAAGGATTACCAAAAGTTCAAGGCCAGCCTGGGCTACATAGTGAGTTCAAGACCAGCCTGAATTTTTGTCGCAAAAAAACAAAAAATAAAAACAAAGTGAACCTAATTGATTTTTCTCTATCAGCATCCAATACAGTTTTAATTTCCTCATAAAAGTAACTAAAGGGGGGCTGGTGAGATGGTTCAGTGGTCTAAAGCACCTACTTAGAACAAGCTAAGCCAAGCAAAGCACAGGGACCGCGGTTCAATCCCCCAGCACCACATGCCAGCCCGCCCGCCCCCTGGTGGGCTAAGCTGGCCACACACTAAATAAATAAATGTTTAAAAAGTAAAGGCTTATATCAGAGCCTCCTTGGAAGAAACCCGTGTGCCGAGCTTATGGGGACTAGCTGTTGCTTGTGCCCCCAACCTTCCCTTCGGGTCCCAGAAAGACCTTTCATGAGGCTTGCTGGCCTGTGCCTGGGACTCCGTCCCTTTCTGCTTTGCTGGCCGTAGGAATCCTGGCCCCTGGGTCTTTAGGGCCCTGGGTGACAGTCATGACTGTGACAGACACATCACAGGAGCGGGGGCGGTGTGTGGCTGGGACAAACCTCATCCTGCAACACACAGTGGGGTCTTTTCATTCTGTAAATGACCTTCTCTAGTTCATCTCAATGCAGTGCCCATGTCAGAGTGGAGCTAGAGCTCAGTAGTCCTTCAGACAATCAAATACACAGACACAGGAGTCAGACCAGACTTTCCCCGTGGGAAAGGACAGCCCCTCAGGGCTGGGTTCAGGGCTGTCCTTGGCAGTGCTGGGCTCCTGGTGGATCTGTCACTGCTCATTGACAGCATTTGGAAATCTCACGACAGGAAGCACATGTGGGTGCCCTGACTGTGTCACTAGGCAGGGCTGGCTGGGGCCCCACCCCCATGTGTGGGGCTCGAGCTCTGTCCAGACTGGGACCAGTGGCTGCCACACCTCAGACCCATGCCTGTCCTGCCAGTCACCCTGGGCTGGGTGCGGGGGGTGCAGCCTGATCCTGGCCAGTGGAGTCCCAGAAAACCCAGCCCATGGTCCTCACCTGCCCTGACCATCGGTTGTGAGAGGGGCCTGGGCAGGAGGAAAATGTCCCCCTGGAGATGGGTGATTGGGGTGTGCGAGAGTTTGGGGATAGGGAGTCCTGGGAAGGCTGTGGTGAGCTCACATGGGGACCTCAGCCAGGGATGCTGCCACCCTCTGGATCACCCTGATCTATGCAGCTCCTGGGGAGGTGGCTACCTGACGTCACAGGGCAGGAAGGGTCACTCACCAAGTGGTCATGGGTTGGTGGACCCAGGGATGGAGGGTGTTGGCCCGCGCATGGGCAGAAGCAGCCAGGAGGAACAGATACCAGGGCAACGACCTGGTGCTGAGGGGGGAGAGGCAGCTGAGCCAGATGCCAGGTAAGGAGATTAGACGGCCCACTCTGCACCTGCAGGCTGCAGCTCCACCTTCACGCCCGGCTCGGTGTCCTCTCCACAGAGCTGACCCCAGTCAGGTACGTGCTGGCTGCCACCCAGTGCACAGGCCCTGTGTCCCTGCCCGGGCCTTCCTGTGCCCTGTGTGTCCCTGCCCTGTTCTGTGCTCTTTCATCTACATAAATCTGTTCTGGAATAAGGTATTTTGTTTTGAATTATCTTGGTTCTGGCATCAGAAAATGAGCTAAACATCTTTAAAATCATTTAGTCCCATTTCCTTTTGTTTCATCTGGTTTTGCTTCAGTACTGGGGATCAAACCCAAGGCCTTTGCACCGAGCTACGCTGCCAGGCCTGTTTTCATTTTTTATTTGGGCACAAGGTCGTGGTAAATTGCTAATTAGCGAGATTAGGCTCGAGCAGGTGATCCTCGTGCCTCCGCTCCCTTGTGCTGGTCTCACAGGTGCGTGCCACCACACCCGGTTTATGAACTGGTTGTAGAAGCGGGGACAGCTGACTCCTCACGAGGTCCAAGTTTTCGGGTGCAGCTAGTGGGCTGGGAGGAGGCGTGGACAGCACATTTGGTGGCACAGCGGGGCACTGCGAAACGCGAGGCTCGGGGGTGCCGTCTGCCCCTCTCCTCAGGTGCACATCGCAAGCACGCGGCTGTCTGAGGGATCTGGATTGAGCACCTGCCCAGAAGGAGATGCGCTGGGCCTCGGGGAGCCCCCGCCCCCCAGAGCACCTGCCCCTCTTCCCAGCCACCTGCGGCCTGGGCTGTTCTGGTCCCCACGGCCTGCCCCACTCTCCTCGAGGCCTGGTAAAATCTTCTGCAGCCCTGGGGGCAGACCCCAGGGCCTCCCCGGAGCTGGGCCAGCACTGCGTACCGGTCCACACCTGGTCTCCGACTCGAGGTGTCCTGGGGGTGGGCAGCAGAATCAACCGAGCCTTTGATTTGCAATCTGAGAGGACTAGTGCCACGGAGGGCATTTCGTGGCTCTTCGGCTGTGAGGGTTTCCTCTTTTGAGGAAAGCGCTGGCTCAGTTCTTTTTTCCTCTAACGAGGGGAGCTCACTCTAATAGTTCACAGTGTCCCGTGGTGTAGAGTGATGCTGCCGGCTTCCCCCGGAAAGGCCCATCTGTATGTGCTGACAGAGGAAGCTCTGTGGAAAAGGAAGTAGCCAGAGGCCTCTGACCTTTTTCTCCTCAAAATGCCCACAAAGCATTGCTGTAGCAGGGAAAATTTCTCTCAAGAGAAAAGTACTATTGATGGTATTATGAGCATAACAACTAGTCACGACTGTGACAGAGCAATAAGGGACAGAGACAGGCACAGTGAGCGGATCGGTGTGACCGCTGACCACAAGGTGGGCACACCTCGACAAGGGAGAAGCGCCCTTGGGGGGCTGGGGATTTGGCGATGACTTATTCCTTGCCCTCCTTTATCTTCCCCTTCTTCGATGGCGGACACAGGACACTGAAGCCCCTTAGATCACTCTGTGCATGCCTGTGATTCGGGCAGATCCACCTCCAGGGGTGGGGTCTCCCCCGAACACTGGGAAACAGGGGACCTGCTCAAGGCCTTGGGTCTGATCCCAGCCCAGCAGAGGCGGCCCCGAGAACATGGAACGGCAGTGAACACCGCACTAAGCAAGCAGAAGGGTCAAAGCAGTGCACGAAATACAATTTCAATCCGCAGACAGTGCGCGGGTGGGAGGTGGGGGGCGCTGCGGCGGCCCCTCCCTTCCTGGACAGCACGAGCCGCTCCTAGGGTCAGGAAAGATGTAAAAATTCAGGCTGGGAAGGAGAGCGCATCTCCGCGCATTTGGAGTATCAGCGTTTCCGCCTGCTTCTCCTGCCGTCCTCAGCTGACCCCTTCCTCCCTTGCTGCCCACACAGATCAGGCTCCTGTCCCCGGCAACTCTCCCCGACCTACTTCTGCAACCATGTGGCCGGATAATCCCAGGTGCCAGGCCCTCCTAATCTTGTACCGGGTGTCCTTGGCCTGACTTGAAGCCCACTGCGCTGACAGGGTGTGTAGGAGAACAGCACAGGGGAAGCCCTTGACCTATGCTCCTTTTTTAGTTCTAATTTTAACGATAAATTTTATCAGTATAGGGGCTGGTGAGATGGCTCAGTGGTCTGAAGCACCTACTTAGAACAAGCTTAGCAAAGCACAGGGACCACGGTTCGGTTCAATCCCCCAGCACCACATGCCAGCCAGCCCCGCCCCCTGGTGGGCTGAGCTGGTCACACACACACACACACACACACACACACACACACACACAATAAATAAATAAACGAAAAAAAAAAAGAAAAAAAATTTTATCAGTATACAAAGTATAATCATAAAATACAGCAAACACATTTTTAAAAATGTGCTGAGTGCAAGACACATCGCTACAACCCCCTCCCTCCTCCCCATCAACTGAAACGTGCTTCTCCCAGGCTTCCCCCACTGCCTGCTGCTCCCGAGGCCTCTTTCCTGAGGGTCCCCACTTAGGCTGCTGTCACTGCCTTGGTGTCCCAGATTGGTTCAGGTCATTTCCCCTCCAGGGTCACTGTAACGGTGGGAGAGGCCGGAAAGAGTGTCGGGGTGCCAGACAGAGGTTAGGAATACGGAGGAGGCAGACACAGCCAGGCTCTCCGGGATGCCGGTCTGTCGCGCCGCCCCTGGCAGCCGCCCTCACCGTCCGGGCCATCGCACACCACATGGGCGCTGGCAGGGGGCTGCAGACCTGCTTCCGTGCGGGCAGGGACAGGGGATGAGGGCGTTTGAGACAAGGGGGCATGCTGGCGGAGATTCAGGGCGACAGCCTGCATCTTTTATGTTTTAAATTGAAACATCCGCCGCGTAATTTGATCACTGCTCCTGAATGTGTAACTGGAGCCCCGAGTTGCAGCCTGAAGAGCCGCGCTGAATGCCTGCGTCAGGGGCAAGAGGGGCGCACGCTCTGCAGCTCTGCACGGTCTGGCCCTTCAACACGTGGCGAGGGGGGCCAGGCCAGACGGAAAAGCGCCGGCTTAACAGCAGCAAAGTGCCGGACCCTGCTGCACACCCACGTGGCGCGGGAGCTCTCTGCAAGGCCTCTGTGGCTGCTGAGAGGATTGCACGCGTAAGCCCAAGTCAGCAGGAAAGTGCCCCCACGGAGGTACTGTGCCGGCATCGCTGCCTTACAGCGTCCCCTCTGGTGCGACAAATGAAAGGGTAAGAAGTGACACATTCCCCTCTGAGAAAGTAAAAGGCAGAGAGCTTAGGTGACTCTGCTTGGGTGAAAGGCGGCATCCAGACGCCCAGTGCGAAGGCAGGCGAGAATCAGGAGACCACCTTCTGTGCTAAGAGGGAGGTGCGGTCCGTCACCCTAGGGGGCGTCGCGGCCGCAGGACGGCTTTCGCTCTGGGGAGGCCCCCCGCCGCTAGGGGCTGGCCAAGCGCCCCCGGCTGACCGCGTCCGTCCGTGGGCTCGCCACCTCGCCCTGGCGCCTGCCTTCCTCCCTTCCGCTCCCAACCCCTGCCGGCGCCCCGTTCCCAGCTGCAGAGCGCATGGGAGCTTTTATGTCTCATTTGTTTCGGGTTTCTCCAGAGAACAGAGCCCGCCATGCTGACCTTGTGGCTCTTTTCCCCTCCCGTTATGCTCGCAGCGCGCGTCCATCTTCCTCCACGTGACTCACGCATATTTTCGGTTCATCATAGAAGAGAAACCAGGCAGTACCTACGCGTGTGATTCTCATTTACTCAGTTTACCATTATGGTCTCCAGGTGAATCCATTTCCTACAAACCATCGGAGGCAGGCATTCAGGCAGCATTCAGTGTGTGTGCAAACCACACTGTCTTCATTTACTTGTTTGCTGCTTCTGAATTTAACCATTCTGACCTGTGTTGCATTAAATACGGGTATGCAGATATCACTGTAATCTGATGCCTTTAACTCTTTCAGGAAGACGCCCAAGAATAGCTGGGTCAAACGGGTCAGGTTTCACTTTTAGAGGAATCTCCTCACTGGTTTCCATGGTAGAAACTCCCGGCTGGGCTGATTATGTCAAAATGTCCTTGGGTGGTTGCTTTAGAAATGGCTCATCAATTAAAAAGTATTCCAGGTCCTTCTTGCCTCAAAGTATTGGATATGACAAGCCAAAAACAGCCCCAAAAGTTTAGAGTTCCCCCAACACACACACACACTGCCTCGCTAGCAATTGTTTTCATAGGATTTCTTCATGATGGGAGATGAAAGCTCGGTGTCTCTATTTTGATTTCTCAAACAGCCAGCTGTGCTGAACCTTTCATTGCATGTCTGTTAGCCTTTTTGTACTGGGAGGAATGTTTTTATTTTATTTTATTTATTTTGGCAGAACCGGGGATTGAACTCATGCCCTTGTGCTTGCCAGGGAAGCACTTATTCTACTGAGCCATCTCCCTGGCCCCCAATGTATCTTTTTTTTTTTTTTTTTTTTTTTTGGGATTGAACTCAGGACCTTGCACTTGCCAGGCGAGCACTTATTCCATTGAGCTATCTCCCTGCACCCCAGGGAGGAATGTTTTTAAAAGCTTTACATCATGGCTTCCATTACCCATTAAGTTCCACCAGAAACCTGGAGCTGACTAGGCGCTGCCAGAGGGCCACCAGCTGCCAAAGCAAGCCGCTGAGGATGGCCTTCTGGCCCCTGCATGACGATAAGCACCATGCGCTCCCTGCCTCAGACAGGGGTCGATGCACCCACCCGCTGAGCAGGGAGGATGCCAAGCCCAGAGGCCCTGCTCACACCCTCTCCTCTTATTTCCTTCCAGCTTCACTGAGGAGGAAGATGTGTGACCAGACCTTTTTAGTGAATGTGTTTGGCTCCTGTGACAAATGCTTCAAACAGAGAGCCCTGAGACCGGTATTCAAGAAATCCCAGCAACTCAGCTACTGCTCGACATGTGCAGAAATTGTAAGTGCCACTTCTTACAAATGGGCATTGCCAGTCCTGGAGGGTGGTGAGAAAGCCCCAGGTCAGATGAGCTGCCCTGGAAGCTGCTAGCAGAGCCCTGTGTGGCAAGAGAACAGAACACCCCAGGGTAGGGACAGACACTCTTTGAGGGCTGCCTGGTGTCAGTCCTGCTGCTGTCCCCACCTCTGCTCTCCACTGGACAGGAATGCTAGTGGCATCTGCATCGTTTGCATTCACTGTGTCTGGCCCAACTCATTCTTTACTATCTCTAGCCTGTCTGGTCAGCAAGGAACTGAGCTAAAAGACTGGCAGATAAACACAGGGCCCTCCTCTGCATGGTCCAGGCTGCACACACAGCCCATGAGCCTTCCCCTACTGCAACCTGAGCAAAACTAGGCTCCCGCAGCCTCGATCCTATGTCTCTGGAGGGCCAAGAACAGAATGGAACTCAGGCAGTCGAGTCCACCCTAGAGGCGGCCACGCACGGGCTTTCGTGCAAAGTGTGGCTGCAGCCCTGGGAATGGGTCTTGTCTGGAGAATTTGCAACTGGGCTAAGCATTGCAGTCGAGCAGCGCCCCCACCTGTTAGGAAGTGGTAAAGCACTCTGTCCGCTAGGCCAAAGGGAAATAGCTTCACGTTGTGGTGCAGTGCTGTGTGTGCAAAGGAGCAGGGCTTGCTTGGTGCATGGTGCTGGTTCTAATGCCTCTTCAGGCCAGGCAGAAAGCAGCACATTTGTTCTAGACCTGGTTCTGCAGACCGAAAGTGGGACCTTCAGGACCTGGGCCTGTCCCTCCAGCTTTGGCTAATCCTGTACTTCTCTTTCATGAACGACTGCCCCTGCGGCAGGAGCAGCCCCGAATCCCGACCGCGGGTCCCCCATACTCCGAGCCCCGCCTGGAGGGTCCCCGTGTTCATTGTTGTCTGGCGGAGGGGACAGGCCCAGGTCCTGAAGGTGACCCTAGAAGGAGGTGACGACACAGTCCCTTGATGGACCAGATCCCGCTAGAACACGCACAGCCCAGGCTTCTGTGACATCCCGCCGTCTCACTTCGAGAGAGACCCCGCGGCTCTGCAACCTTGTGTGGCTAAGTTCCTACGCAAGTGCTAGGGCCGACTCTCCCAGGACCCTGGGGGAAGGGACCTGTAGGCGTGGAGCGCCACTGCCCGGAGCCCACAGACCCACACTTTCCATGCACACACCCCACGGCGGCCCGGTGGCCCTGGCCAGGGAAGCGCAGGCGCGGCCAGGGAATCCTGTGCTCGTGACTGTGGGTGTCACCTGAACGCCTTGTTGTGGAAGGCACCAAGGTACCCGCGGCCTCAAGGACTCCTCTGGGTGTCCTCCCTGTGCCACCCAGGGGCCACCCTGCTCCTACCTCTCCATGAGTGACCCAGGAGGGGCCACGGTTTGTGCTCGGGAATCGCTGCACACGCTATCATGTGTACCCTGGCAGTGGAGCGCCTGCTGGTGACTGAACTACTGCGGAGACCTTGGGTACCCGAGGGCTCGGCGCCCAGCTCCGCCCTAGGTCTGGGGCTGCAGGGAGGGTGCGCATGCGCACAGCGGGCGGAGCCCGGCCGCGGTCCCTGCGCATCTGGGTCCCCACCGCTCTGGGGGGCACACCCGGCCGTGCTCTCCATCGGGTCTGCGCATTCGCCGGGGTGAGGGGCAGTGTCGCTGCTTCCCGGGAGCGGGGAGACCCGAGTAGGGCCCAGTCCGGCCTGCACCTCTAGTGTCCACCGACTCACGCCGCGTCTCAAAGCCTGTTTCCCCGGAGAAATCAAGATTCTCCCGTCTCCCGCACGGTTTGCGCAAGCACGGCACGTGGGCACAGGTGGGGGCGGGGCCTGCGCTGCGGTCCCCGCGGCTCATGCCCGGTCCCTGTTCCCGCTGTCCCCAAAGATGGCCACGGACGGGCTGCACGAGAGCGAGACGCTGGCGGCGCTGCGCAGCGAGGCGGAGAGCCTGAAGGGCAGGCTGGAGGAGGAGCGCGCCAAGCTGCACGACGTGGAGCGTGAGCTCAGTGGCGCGGGGGAGGGGCGGGGGGCAGCGCATCGCGGCCGGGCGGCTCCATCCGGCGGCTCCTGCGCCGAATGCGGGGACCTACACGGCAGGCGGCCGCTGCCGAATGGGGTGCAGGGTCGCGGGTCATGGTCCTTCCGGGCCGGGGTCTCCGCCTCAGTCCGTGCCCCCACCTGCTCCCTCCGGGGAGCAGCGCGGCCTCTGCTGGGCGGGAACCTCCGGTGTCTCCGCTGCGGCGCTGGGACCAGAGAATTGGTCACAAGACCAGCCGCCCCCTCTGGGGCGCCCCCGGCTCCGGCCATCACTGCAGCAAAAGAGGGGCAGTGGCCTCCAGGCTGTGTTAGCTGCTTCCTACCGGAAGAGCGGCAGTCGCCAGGAAACTTCCCGGCGCCCCCAGGATGTCCCATCGGGCTCCATTGTCTGCACGAGGCCCGGGACTGCAGAGAGGAAACTGAGGGAGGGCGGATCGGGCCTCATCATCCCCCCACCAAAGCTGTTGCTGGCATCAGAGACAAAGCGGCATGGGCTTGGGGAGGCACGGGCGGGGCCTGCAGATCTGGAGACCTGATCTGGAGACGCTGTGGGCACCAGGAGGGTGCCGGAAGTGGGTTCTCCGAGCTCACCTCTGGACAGATAGGGAAACTGAGGCACAGCCAGCTGATAATGAGGCCACAGCTCCCAGCCTTCCCTGCCCTGGCCTCTAGGGTTCACAGTGGGGGACCCCAGAAGTCCCTGGTAGTTCAGCCTTCTCTGGAATGTGGGACCTGCCCTGTGGGGGTGGGGGGGGCAGCTTTCCTCGGGGGACCCCGTTCCCCGAGCCTGTGCCAGCTTTGGATAGGAAAAGCAAGCCTTGCCATTTCCTAGGCGGGGTGCATCGAAGGATGGGGGTATGGGCTTCCTTGGACCCCAGTTAGGGCCAAGTGGCCCTCAAGACAAGCCCTGGCCAAACGAAGGCCAGGAAGGAGGAGCAGAGGCCCACCCCAGCGCAGAGAGAGTGTGCAGGACTCGCAGGGGTGCCCATGTGAGGCAAGTGCAGGCAGTGACCTGCAGTGGGGTGTGAGGAGTGGGGTGTGGAGGATTGGATTTTTGACCCTGAGGGGCTGGGGCTACTGGAGATTTGAGGGTGACCAGGGTGCAGACACCTCTGCTCCTTCCCAGGGACACCCTGGGCAGCCTGCCCTGCTTCTGCCAGAGGTGGCCCTGGGTGGAGGTGTCAGAGCTCCCCTGCCTGTCCCCAGCTCCTTCCCTGAGTGTTGCAGCCTCAGCTCCACACCAGATTGGGACCGGGAGCTGCTACATTGCCTGTGAAGTCCCACATAGGTGCAGCCAGGGCCACCACACCTGCGCACTTACCTGTCCCTGAATTCCCTTAAGAAAGAGCAGACGGGCTTGACACAGGAACGTGGTCAGATTGGAATCTTGCGTCTGGCTCAAGGGTGACCAGGGTTCAGCTTGGGAGTTAGGCTGCCTCTGCTGACCAGTGGCCCTGGAGCAAGGGATCCAGAGCTGGGGCAAGAGGACGGGAGCTGTCAGGCCAGGGAGGCAGGGACAACAGACGCTTTGCTACCCGTGCCTCTCCTGCAGCCAGCCTACAGCAGCAGCCCTGTGAGTGGTAGGCCCACTTCCTACTTCTGCAGCCCAGGCTGCTTCATGGAGGCCCGGATCTTCCCTGTGGCATATGAGGACTGTCCCTTCTTGATGCAGGCCACAGTGAGGTTTCCAGAACCTGGTGAGGGCATCGGCTGGATGCCAGAGGTTGTGGCTTATTCATGAGCAGAATGTGCAAGAGGCCTCTACCTTTGTCCTTTTTTTTTTTTCCTGTTTGTTTTGTTTTTCTTATTTTGCAGTACTGGGAACAAAGAGCCTTCACAGAGCCATGTCCCCCAAACTTTTATTTTTTGTTTTGAGGCAGGATCTCATTAAGTCACTGCATGGAGTAGCCCATGCCGGGCTGAAGCTTGTGACCCTCCTGCCTCAGCCTCCCAGAGAGCTAGGATAACACACGTGCACCACATGCCTGCTGCTGTACATTCTTGCGCTGTGGTTGTGCGGATGGCCCTGCAGCCCCTGCTCCCCAGTGAGACCTCTTCAGCCACAGGTGGAGGTGACCAGCTCATCCCAGTTTGCCAGGGACTTTTGGATTTACAATGCTCTTGGGCCTCAGGCCCACTCTGCTTTTGGATTGGGTTTGCCCAAAGCCTTGGCTTTAAGAACCTAATACAACAAAACCAAGGTCCCTAAACTAGGAGAGGGGAGCAAGCGTTTCCCAACTGCAGGACCCAACTCCGGCACCCTGTTGATACAGAGGAAAGAAACTCCCAGCCTGAAACATACGTGAGCTGAGATTGTGGTCTCTAAAGCCAAAGAAGGAATTTTAGGAATGACAGAGGTTAAGAGCAGAATATATTTAAGGGAAAGAAAACTTCTGCGAGACAGAGGGAGTGAGGGGAAGGGAGAGAGAGGCGAGACAGACACGAACCAAGTGGGTTGCCCTGGAACCTGCTTCTTCTGGGAATTTTTATAGAGCAAATTCAGGAGGTGAGGCGGGTTCAAGGTGAGGAACTTGAGAACTCATAAGGTGGACAAAACTGTGGTCAACGCATTAATTGTTCAGGTAAAATTGGTTAAATTGAGGTTAAATGGGCAAGTGAATACAGAGCAGGGGTTTTTCCTGTAGGGGGTTGGGTTAGTGACTCTTCCTGATTTTCTCAAGGTGATAGAGACCTACTTAGAAAACCAATCCCTAATGTCTGTCCAGAGCAAGGTATGTGGCCGCATTTGTTTAACCTCTGGCCTAGAGGTCTGGCCCTCAGGGAGGTACCTATCTCTCCCACAGCTGCAAGGTGAGGCATCTCGTCTCCTATACCAGCTCCTTTGAGGGCTGCCCCATGTGGCTGCCCAGAATATTTCTATAAACTCAGCTGCCTATGACACAGACACCAGCATCCCCTCTGGGCCTCACCCCAGCATCACCCTGGGCCAGCCTGAGAGGAAGTGGCCTTTGGGGGCTGCCAGTGTCCCCGCTGCCGTAAGCCTGTGTTTACTTGCTGTGCGGCCATGGAGAGCCCTGTTCAGTGACTCCTCGGGGTCCTGGAGGCTGGTCCTGGGCGTGGTGGGGAAGAGCCCGCTGCAGGGCCTCTAGAGGCATCTGCAGCCCTCGTGTTACTCTGACCACTGCCTCAGAGTCACATCATCTCTGACCCTAACCCTGCACCCTGCACCTCCCTCTTAACAGGAACCTTTGGTTCTGCTGGGCCCACCTGGAAGACACAACCCAGGATGAGCTCCTGTCTCGGGGCCCCCCTTAGGCAGATCTGCAACCTCATGATTGAGTGGTGGCATTGCCTGTGCTGTGTGGGCGCCCTCAGGAGCCAGGGACGGGGATGTGGGCATCTGCAGGGCTGTGACTGCACCTAGCCCACAGCTCTGATCTGCTGCTCTCCCCGAGGGCTACACAGAGCTGCAGTCTGCATTTCAAAGAATGAAAAGGAAGTCCATGAATACATATGTGGAAGGTGTGAGATTTTTATTAGGTTAAAATACCAAAAACAGCGGGGGAGATAGCTCAGCAGGAGTATAGGCTTCCCTGGCAAGCGAAGGGCCTGAGTTCAATCCCCGGTTCCACAAAAAAAAAAAAAAAAAAAAAAAAGCAAAGTTCCAAGTGGTGATGCTGTCAGAGTCCCATTGGCTTCAATAGGAGACATATGTACATGTGGGAGCCTGCGTCTAAAGCCAAGCAGAACCCCAGCGTCCAGAGGGGTTCGGAGGTGGAGCCACTCCTCTGTGCCGTGACCACTTTGCAGCAAGCTGTAGTTCAGGATGGGCCTTTAAGAAAAAAAGAGAGGAAGCAGAGAGGGAGGCAAAAGCAGTTCAGCTCTAAAGGTATTTAATGTGGCATTTGCCGGAGGAGCAAGGGTGCAGAAGACAGAGCGGGGACCAGGAGAGCACAGGTGCAGCCCTGGGCCACATTGGAGCCATCCTGGGTTCCAGCCCCTCGGCAGCTTCTAACTCTGCGGGGACAGAGCAGCCCCAGAGCACCAGGCAGTGTTGGCCCGAGGGCTGCAGACAAGCCCCTGGCAGGCTTCCAGCTGAGAGCAGCGCACTTTGCCACCATTCTAAATGTATCGGAAAGGCTTACCTCAGATGCATTGTTGCCTGGGCCTGGGCCCCTTCTCATTTTACGCTGAGAGAAAAATATAGCAGCAAGCATCTTTGTAGACCAGCCTGGTCTGTTGGCTTGCTCCAGTATTCAGACGAGATGGTTCCTGGGTCCCTGCAGGTCCCACCTACCATGCAGCCTCTGGCTCTGCCACCACAGTGGTCAGAGAGCAGATGGCCCAGCTGCTTCCCCACTGTGCCCTACCCCAGCTCTGGTATGCGAATGTCGTCAGCAAACCTCCGAGGACACTAATATTCCCACAGGGTGCTCTGCCTCTCAGCCCTTTGGGCTTCTAGGTGGAGCCTCGGTGTTGGGAGCTGGCCAAGCGCCCTGTCTTGTGGGCGAGCGTACAGGAAAGGCACAAATGAAAGGCAGCGTGCAGTGTGGTTTGAGGGGGTTCTGGAAGTCAGAGCTGCCTGGGCGCTAAGACCAGAGCTTCTCTGGACTGCCCATGCTTATTGGATCCTTCCCAAGTCAAGGGGTGCAGGAAGTGGAGGGCGTGTCTGAGGCAAAAGTCCACAGCTGAGCGGACCCTGAGAAGTTAGAACCAAGACAGGCCAAGCAGCAAGCCTCCCTGATGGGAGAACCGTCCTGTCTCTTGGGTTGGCGGTTACTGCCCTGGAGTAGGAGTGAGCCCAGTGCCCTCAGTTGCGGCCTTGTGTCGCAGCCTTCAGGGACTGTGGACCGGGCTTTCCCTACACAGCCAGAGAGCACTGAGGGCAACAGCCTAACCCTGGCACAACCTGGACCCCACACCTCGAGGTAGAACTTGTGTGCCTGACGGGGGGTGAAGGTGATCTGGGCGTGCGGCTCTGTGGTAGGCACCTGGCTGGCAGGCATGAGGCCCTGGGCACCCTCCCCAGCGCCAGAGACGAGACCTCAGTCTGGAGACAGCAGCAATACGGCAGCTATAGGCAGCGCTTGCAGGCCTTTGTACAGCATCCTGTAGCCCCCACGTTTGCTTCTCCCGCACCCCTAGTGTGTGCCCGGCCTTGCACTTACTGGGGGGGATCAGTACCAATCGCTCTGCTCCAAAAGGTGGCCTCTTTCATTTGGGAAACGTTCATGCTGTGCTCTTGCACCAAGGAAACAGTTTTTAAAAGTAAAAAGTACGTGCTTCTCTCTGCGGGGAGGTGGACCCCGGGCCCTGCATGTGTGACGCAGTCATTCCATCACAGAGCTACATCCCTAGCCCTTTTTTTTGTAATGTGATTCTGAGGCAAGGCTGTGCTGAGTTGCCGGGGCTGGCTTTGAGCTTTCACCCACCTGCCTCAGCCTCCCAGGTAGCTGTGTCACCATGCTCAGCCACACTGAATGAGTAAAAGTAGCTTTGGGTATTTGGTCCCCTTCATTCCTTGCTCTACCACATAGTGGCTGTCATAGTGGCTACCACATAGTTGCTGGTGCACAGCTGTAATCCCAGAACTAGAGAGACTGAGGCAGGAGGGTTGCTGTGAGTTCAAGGCCAGCCTAAACTGCACAGCAAGCTACTGTCTGAAAAAAGGAACATTCAGAGTTTGTTCACGCTTCAGCCTTCTTTTTTTTTCTTCTTCTTAATCTAGTATGGAAAGAGGGAAAGTACCTCGTATGTTTTCACTTTGTAAATGTTTGCATTTAAATTTTTATGTATGGACCTGCATGCAATATGAGATATGATTTTTTTTAAATGTGCTGACTATTGAAATGTCTTAAGTACATACTACAGTAAAAGACACACGTCATTCACCTTCCTCGCGGTGCTCGCCTGGCCGCAGCGCAGTGCTGAGGTTCGTGCGCAGTGGGCGATGCGTCCTCATCGCCCCACGGGCCCCGCAGGCCCACCACGAGGAAAGGGCACTTGCATGGCTGGGTGTGGAGTGGCAGGGCAGGGCAGGAGCCATCTCGGAGGTCCTGGTGTCCCTGCCCCAGCAACTTCACCTGATCGCAGATGCTTGGCAGCTGAGGAAGAGAGGAGAGGCAGTGGGAGGGAGGGACCAGCAGGAAGGGACAGGGCTCAGAGCTCTGTTGGGCCACCAGGAGCAGCGGCCTGCACCAGCCGGGTTGACTGGGACAGAGTTCACCAAGGCCACTCAGTTTATTCCTGTTGGTGCTTCAGTGACTACAGCTTAGTCGCCGGCTGCAGAATGTCACATTTGACATTTGTCCCTTTGCACTGGGCTGGATACTGAGTCTGGCAGCCCCTGAGAGTGCAGGAAAGTGAGCCAGCTGGTGCTTGGTAGGGCAGGGCTTTGGCCACATCCTCAGACCCTGGAACTGCCTGCCCTGCTCTGTGCAGCCCTGGGAGCCCTCAGTGACTGGGCCCCTGCGGGGGGTCCCTGGCAGCAAGCAGTGAGGTGCTCCTCATGTCTCTAAGAAAAATTAGGCCCAGGAAGGACAAGCATCTGAAGGCAAAGGGAACGCCCTTCTGCCCCAAACTGTTCCCACAAATGACGTAAGGAATGTATTTAGCTGGTTTCTAGATTAAATGGTTGCAGGATTTGGCAGCTAGAGACAGCATGGAGTGGGTTGGGAGCGAATCTGTGCGTGGGGAGAAACCTGCAGTGGGAGAAAGGAATTACTGGTTGGTTGTGTTCAGGTTCCTGTTATGTAAGGGAAGCCCCGTTCACATGGGCAAGGCCACTTTTCTTTCTAAAGAGGACAGAAGGGCTCCGGTTAAGCAGGTGCGGTACCAGGAGAAGGGGGAATACCCACGTACACCTCTTGGTGCCGCCTGCACAGGGCCTGCCCTGCCCAGTGCTGCTGTGTGAGAGCCCGTAACGCACCAGGTGCCTTCTGGGCCTAAGCTCCACTCTGTGGGCTCTGGGAGCGCTCGTGCGCCCTGTGTCTTTCTTGTCTTTCTTGAGACAGGGTCTTGCTAAGTTGCCCATCCTGGCCTTCACTTGTGATCCTTCTGCCTCAGCCCTGCGTAACTGAGGTTTCAGGTGTGCACCACTGCACACGACTGACACATTTTTCACAGCTTGGATTTTCAGTCTTTTGCACACTTTTGTTCTTTCATCCGAATGAAGTAGGTGCCTAAAAGGAACCAAGACTTCCTGGAGAAGTCCTGATTTCGGCGTGGGTCAGAGGGAGCGGAGGGCTTGGGATGGGAGGAGCTGAGAACGGAGCAGAGTTGGGAGGTTCCAGAGAGTGTGATGGGCTCTGTGGGCGGCAGCACCCCTGGCAGTTCTCACCCTTAGGTGCTGAGCACACAAAGCACCTGCATCCTTGCTAATAGACCCCAAGGCCCAAATCCGTGGGGAGGAGGAGAAGCCCCTCCTTGGAGCAGAAAGCAGGGCAAGGGCCTGGAACGGCCCCTGCTTGTACCAAGTGACAAGGCCCTGCTGGGCCACTCACAGATGTCACAGTGCAGGTGCCACGGTGCCCAGCCACCACCATGATATCAGGTCTCAGATCGTCCCACCACAGAGGTCCCCAGGTGCTGCCAGAGGCCAGTGCTCACAGGCACCAGGTGGGGTGTGGACCGCTAGAGCGGGCGGCAGGCATACCTGGCGCGCAGGGCTTCCCTGTCCCCACCATAGTGCATGAGCCGGACCTTAGCTCCAGCACGTGCTGGACAGTCTGGGAGTCCAGTGCAGCAGAGGGCCGGGTGGGGCTTTGCCATGAAGGTTGCCATGGGCCAGTGGCATGTCCCTGGGCCCTCGCCAAGGCTGTGGTGCCACCTCAGTGCCAGCTTCAGTCACTGGTCCATGGTCAGTTAAGGGAGCATGGTGAGGAAGCTTCCTCAGGGAAGGCCTCTCCAGAAGGTACTCGGTCGTAGTTCAGAGCCCAGCACGGCTCTTGGGAGGAGGCCACGGGTGGCCTAACTGTCACAGCTCCTACAGGCACAGATCGGCACTGAGCCTGGTTCCCTTTTGGCCAGGCGGAGGGTTCCAGGGAAGGAGGCAAGGACCAGACCTCTGTACTCACGCGGGCAGGGTGTGACCCTCAGGTTTCTTGCCTGTGGTCCCTGCCAGGCATTGCAGGGTGCTCGATCACCGCCTGCTGAAGCCCAGGGAAGCCCTCGGGAAAGCAGGGTCCAGGCTTGCAGATCCTGGGCCTGGTGGTGTGGTGGGGGAATCAGGCGCATGGCCTGTTCTTCCCTCTGTATTTGTGGTGTGGTCAGAAACCGTGACTATCTCCGTGTTTTTCTAATAGAGTTACAGGCACATTTCCATGAACCCCTTGAAGGCTCAGGATGCTGTGGTTCAACCCCCAGATCTTCATGCCTTACCAGACCTGACCTTAAGGCATCCCGAGTCATCAAATAAATAAATAAATAATAAAAAAAAAAATAACAATCCAAAGGCTCAGGATTCTGTGGTTCAGTCTTCATGAATGAGCTCCTGAGATTGCCTTCCCTTGCTTCAGACACAGTCATCCCCCATTCTTGGCACTTGCCAAGTTTTCTCTCATGAGAGTCTTTAGTTGCACTGTGGCAGCTGCCTCCATGTCCTGAGCGGATTTACAGCGTCCCCCATACATGGTCCTTTTGACTGGGAAGAGCCGAGTCGGGTGAACAGGGTAAGTGAGGACGCGGCGTCACATTTGCACGAGCTGCCTTTCCATTAGCCGGCACACAGCAGCAGCAGCGTTCACTGCATTTCTGGTCACACCTCAGAGACATCAGGAAAGAGCACTCCAGAGCCACCTCAGGCTATGTGTGTGTGTGTGTGTGTGTGTGTGTGTGTGTGTGTGTAGGTGTCACTACACAGCTGGGACTCATAGTGATCCTGTCTTCTGCCTCCCTAGTGCTGGAGAGCTGCTTCAGAAAGTGGCGAGAACAATAGGGTAGCCATACGTGGTGGCACATGCCTGTAATCCCAGCACTTGGGAGGCTGAGGCAGGAATATCATTTCAAGTTTGAGACCATCCTGAGCTACAGAATGAGCTCAAAGCCAGCCTGCATGGCGAGACCATGTCACACACACACACACACACACACACAAATCATGGTAGGGTATGGGATGCTTGTGTTCAGACTGGGGGGTAGTACTTTTGTGGCA